ACGTAGATCTACGTTTGGACAGTTTAAGGGTTAGACATCACGGCATCACAAAAAAAAAATTGTGCAATTCTTTAACTGTTGTATAGTGAAAATGTTGTGAAAGTCAATGTCGCAATCAATGGTCTAATGTATATTGTAATTTAGTATGGGTATGTAAAGGAGGTTTTGTGTACAAGGAGCTTGGACATAAAGCAGGCATGTGTGTGTGTGCATTAGGAATGAAGATGAATGGTTTTTGGGACTTGACGAGCTGTTGGAGTGTGAGCAGGGTAATATTTTGTGGAGGGATTCAGGGAAACCAGTTAGTGGGACTTGAGGAGGGGTTTGGGATATTTGCTGTTTAGAGTGACATTTAAACTGTTGTATCTGAGTGTCTCTGGCAAGACAGTGATAGTGTGAATGATGATGAAAATGTTGCTCTTTTTTGGGTCACCCTGCCTTGGTGGGATACAGTCAGTGCATTAAAACAAAATGTACATTGTATATAGTACGGGTATGTAGGTATAATTTGGCTTTTATCTTTCACCCCTATGCATTAATGTTTATTTTCCACAACTTTCATAGTTTTTTTATTTTATATTTCTCTATGGTACTGGGAAAAGTTCATAGTTATGCAGTGCATTTTGGGAAGCCGTAAGACTAAACTTAAATAAACTAGTTATAGAATAAATTCTTCTTTCAATGCACCAGCTGTATCCCACCAGGGCAGGGTGGTTCAAAAAGAAAAACAAAAGTTTCTCTTTATAACTTTAGTAATGTATACAGGAGAAGGGGTTACTAGCCCCTTGCTCCCTTAAAGAATAAATCTTTCTTTCTTTCATCAAACTGGCCGTATACCACCGAGGCGGGGTGACCCAAAAGGAAAAATGAAAGTTTCTCCTTTTACATTTAGGAATATATACAGGAGAAGGGGTTACTAGCCCCTTGCTCCTGGCATTTTTAGTCGCCTCTTACGACACGCATGGTTTACGGAGGAAGAATTCTGTTCCACTTCCCCATGGAGATAAGAGGAAATGAACAAGAACAAGAACTAGAAAGAAAATAGAAGAAAACCCAGAGGGGTATGTATATGCTTGTACATGTATGTGTAGTGTGACCTAAGTGTAAGTAGAAGTAGCAAGACGTACCTGAAACCTTGCATGTTTATGAGACAGAAAAATGGACACCAGCAATCCTACCATCATGTAAAACAATTACAGGCTTTCATTTCACACTTGGCAGGACGGTAGTACCCCCCTGGGTGGTTGCTGTCTACCAACCTACTACCTACTTTTTATTTATTTATTTAGAAATTTTAGCATACATACAGAGGTACAAAAAAAATACAGGTAAGAGCAGCATGCCAAAGCCACTTATATGCATAGCATTACGGGCTGGCTTAAAATTAACTTAAGATTAACTAAGCAATGATGAAATCAGTGATAAGACATTATTGTAAACAGATAACTATAAAGCACAAATGAGTAATACAAAGACAGGTCATATGGTTGCATGCATTGCTGTTCATTCAGTAGAATGGAGTATTCTGTTAGGTAGTGTATTTAAAAAAATAACAAAGTTAGATTGGGTCCTAGGTTTAACATTTATGTGAAATAATTTTGAGTAACATTTTGGATATACAATTTATAAGGTTCAGTTATTCAGTATTTATTTGGTTTTGAGTGAGTAAGTGAACTTTGGAGAGAGACTTGAATTTATAAACAGGTAGTGTTTCTTTTATATTTACAGGTAATGAATTCCAGATTTTAGGGCCTTTTATGTGCATTGAGTTTTTGCATAGCGTGAGATGGACACGAGGAACATCAAAGAGTGATCTGTGCCTTGTGTTATGGTCATGTGTTCTGTTGAGGTTGGCAAGGAGATGTTTGAGGGGAGGGTTAATATCAGAGTTAAGTGTTCTATGTATGTAATAGGTGCAGTAATAAGTATGGATGTTTTGTATGGTGAGTAGGTTTAGTGTATTGAATATTGGTGGTGTGCTGCCTGTAGTGAGAATTTATCATTCAAACTGCAGCCTTTTGTTGGGTTATCTGTTGCATAAATAAACTTAAAAGAACTTAGGAGACAACAATATATAAGCTGTCATTCACAACTTGAAAATAGTTTCTTCATGTAGAAAAGTATTTATTAAAGCTGCCTAACTACTTACCTTGCTGTTTATTTGTTGATGGTTCTGTGGATCATTGCATCTGCAACTTGGTATAAAATCTTCCCTCATAGTCTACTTCCTGATCTATTAGGCTGTTGGAGCTTTGCTACACAGTCCAATTTGGGCACTACAGCTCTCCTGATTAGGTTCCTTTTCTAAGATGATATCTGTTATTAATTTCCCATATATGTAAATAGTTTTGAAAAACCATTATTTATATATATATATATATATATATTTTTTTTTATTATCACACCGGCCGATTCCCACCAAGGCAGGGTGGCCCGAAAAAGAAAAACTTTCACCATCATTCACTCCATCACTGTCTTGCCAGAAGGGTGCTTTACACTACAGTTTTTAAACTGCAACATTAACACCCCTCCTTCAGAGTGCAGGCACTGTACTTCCCATCTCCAGGACTCAAGTCCGGCCTGCCGGTTTCCCTGAATCCCTTCATAAATGTTACTTTGCTCACACTCCAACAGCACGTCAAGTATTAAAAACCATTTGTCTCCATTCACTCCTATCAAACACGCTCACGCATGCCTGCTGGAAGTCCAAGCCCCTCGCACACAAAACCTCCTTTACCCCCTCCCTCCAACCCTTCCTAGGCCGACCCCTACCCCGCCTTCCTTCCACTACAGACTGATACACTCTGAAGTCATTCTGTTTCGCTCCATTCTCTCTACATATATATATACATATATATATACATATATATATATATATACATACATACATACATACATATATACACACACACACACACACTAATGATATCCATATAGCATAATACTTTTATAAGTTTTTTTCTTTTTTAAGCTTTATCATACCTGATGGCTATTGAAAGAAAAAAAAACTTTCATAGGACGTAGACTCAGTGCAAATGAACAACTCTTGATCTAAGGAACTGGAGCTACTCTCTCTTTCCTTGAATTGACTTTGCTTCCCCAAGGCTTTGTATTACTCCTGTACAGTTAGAGCTCCTTCTATAAAATATATCTTTTTTCAGCGCACCGGCTGTATCCCACCGAGGCAGGGTGGCCCAAAAAGAAAAACAAAAGTTTCTCTTTTTTAACTTTAGTAATGTATACTGGAGAAGGGGTGTTACTAGCCCCTTGCTCCCGGCATTCTAGTTGCCTCTTACGACATGCATGGCTTATGGAGGAAGAATTCTGTTCCACTTCCCCATGGAGATAAGTGGAATTATTTCCACTTATTTCCAAGGATAAGAATTAGTAAGAAAATAGAAGAAAACCCAGAGGAGTGTGTATATATATATATGCTTGTACATGTATGTGTAGTGTGACCTAAGTGTAAGTAAAAGTAGCAAGATGTACCTGATACACTTGTATGTTTATAAGACAGAAAAAAGACACCAGCAATCCTACCATCATGTAAAACGAATACTGACTTCCGTTTTACACTCACTTGGCAGTATGGTAGTACCTCCCTGAGTAGTTGCTGTCTACCAACCTACTACCTACAGTGAAATAAATACATATAATAGATATTGAAAGAAAATGGCTTTTACCTGGTAGCCGGGCAGGACACTTACCTCAGTCACATGACTGTACAACAATGCTTTTCCTGTTTTGCTTAACTTATGTTAACTTCACATTTAAAATGTCATTTAGGTCTACTTTTATTGAGAGTAATCTTCCTTTTATGGTATATTTGTATGGAAAGTCTTTATAAATATTTCTTGTGTTTAAATAAAACCTCTATGTAATTGATTCCAATTTAATGGTTTTCAAATTTTATGGATAAAATCTGTTGCTAGATTCTTTCATTTTTCTGTCTGCTGGGTAAATTAATTTTTTAACAAAATTCATTAAATTTAGAATTGTCCTTTACTGTTATGATCATGGAAAAAGTCTTATAAGTTGGATTTAGTGAAGAATTGACTTTAACAGACACTCCTTCCACTTATTAATCCATTAAATTGAAAGATCACTTTCAATTTAATGATTTAATTTGGTTCGAGTTCTTTTTGTTCTGCTCATTGCCTTGATAAACTATCTGATGGGTGGGTTGACAGTGCCTGCACTTGATGGGTGGGTTGACAGTGCCTGCACTTGATGGGTGGGTTGACAGTGCCTGCACTTGATGGGTGGGTTGACAGTGCCTGCACTTGATGGATGGGTTGACAGTGCCTGCACTTGATGGGTGGGTTGACAGTGCCTGCACTTGATGGGTGGGTTGACAGTGCCTGCACTTGATGGATGGGTTGACAGTGCCTGCACTTGATGGGTGGGTTGACAGTGCCTGCACTTGATGGGTGGGTTGACAGTGCCTGCACTTGATGGGTGGGTTGACAGTGCCTGCACTTGATGGGTGGGTTGACAGTGCCTGCACTTGATGGATGGGTTGACAGTGCCTGCACTTGATGGGTGGGTTGACAGTGCCAGCACTGTGAAGGGTGGGTGGGGAATGTTGTAGTTTGGAAGGTCATGTAACTTGTGATGAACATGCACGTGTGGCAAGACACTTATCAAATAAATTATGCTAAATATGTTTCCTTATATTGATTACTCTTCCTTGGTGGAAAATGGCTGATGTGTTCGGTGACTGGAAAGCTTTCGTCATCATTTAGCATTTTTTTTTTTTAAATTTTCTATATAACTAGGTTAGATACATTATTATTACCAGTCCCTTTTTTATATCTTCTAATTTTTTGGAAAAGTTTCATTAAGTTTAGATGTGATTTTGTTAGTAACACAAGTAAACCTTTCCTAATCAGAGTTAATTCTGTACTAATTCAGTGGTTGTACATAAATAACCACAGCTCTAGCTAGCTGGTTTTCTACTTAAGTATATTATAAATAAAACTTTTTTTTCTTTTCAACAGACTGTAAAATCCGAAGGACCCTTAGCACTTTATAAGGGCTTCATACCAACGTGGCTCAGACTTGGGCCATGGAATATCATCTTCTTTGTCACTTTTGAGCAGCTAAAGAAGTTCTATTAATGTAAATTACATTCATCATCTGAAATCATCATCATGCTTCTGCTGAAGCAGAAGCTCCTGTAGCTTCAGAAGACAACCTTCAGTATCAAGATCTGTCAGGCCTTTTGGCATTACTTTAAACTACTGCTGTGCAGCTTTAAGTGGACTCAGCATAATTTTCCTGCCCTTTTTAAATCATAGATTTTGGGGTGCATGGGGCTTTCCTTTATTTCTTGTTTAAAGATTTGAATATTATTGCACTACAGAAAAATCTAGTACTACAGAGAGATGAAAAATTAACGATTTAAGATCAGATATTCAGACAGGAAAGTCCTTTGCTCCATACATTTATTTATTCTTGTACAGCCTCAGAAATGGTTGCCTATAGCATTTTTTTTTTTACTATAGGAAAAAACCATTCTGAGGGGATCTCATGGTATTCATGAATAATCTCCTACTTCACTTCCATTTGTACATGATGCATTGTGTCATTGTCACTTGTTTAATGTAAACACCAAGGGGATGTAATGTCAAGTCATTGGCAGTTTGTTCATCATTCCAGGTGTAAAGTTCTCAATGTTTTTATATACATTGCGATAAAGTTATGTAGTATACATTTAAGAAAATAAAAATCACTTAAGGTGAAATGTATTTTTCAATTACAAATACTGTACTGTACTGTATATGGATATTTGATATATTACTGTTGCTCTTTGATTAATGGCAATGCCATTTTGAAACCAAAGATCCTTGGAGACTTTTGATATAGTGGCAGTTATAGTGTGTAAACTGCAGTTCTGATTTTTTTTTTTTTTTTTTTTTTTTTTTAAAGATTGTGAGCATTAACTCTACTTATAATCCACATTGTCATTTTAATGGCATTTAATAATTCTGTAAATGTGCTTTATTTTTTATTTAAACTGAATTATACATCTTTACCTCTTACAAAAAAAAAAAAAAAATTGTAGACAGCAGTGTAGCTCACTCTTTAACTCTCCATTAATTTATTGCAGTTGACATCATTTATTGTGATGGTGAAATTATCTATTTTTGTAGGTTGTGGACAAACTTGGCTGCCGAGCTACGAGGCAGTGATTTATACAGTGGACCCCCGGTTAACGATATTTTTTCACTCCAGAAGTATGTTCAGGTGCCAGTACTGACCGAATTTGTTCCCATAAGGAATATTGTGAAGTAGATTAGTCCATTTCAGACCCCCAAACATACACGTACAAACGCACTTACATAAATACACTTACATAATTGGTCGCATTCGGAGGCGATTGTTATGCGGGGGTCCACTGCAATTGTATTCAACTTTAGTTTTTATCTATGACAAGATCTGTTCGTATTGTTTCAAAATAAACCCCCAATCCATTTGGGTTATGCAGCACAAGATCTGTTATAAATTTTTTTTTTTGAAATGTGAATGTAAACAGTTTGCTATAACTGTGCTGTTTTATAATGCGACTTACTTTGTATTTAGTTTTTCCATGTTCAATTTTTTTTTGAGGGGGGATGGCAAGTGAAGAAAGGGTAAATGATATTGAATTAATTCTTCAAAATAAAAGTTACAACAGTAAAACTGGTGTTTTTACTCGTATCACAAAATAAAATACTTGTTTATTAGGCATCTATGGACGAGTATGTACAGTGGATAGCGATGAAATCGGATACTGATACGTTTTTGCGTCAAAATATTGGCTTGGCTAACGATAAAAAACTTGGTTAAGGACATTCGTCCAGAACATGTCTGGGCGGCCTGAGCTGCCCAGCCACTCCAGTGTAGCCAGTGTGCCATTGTAGACGATTCCATGAGTACATGCGATACATTTTGTATTCATTGTTTTTAGTGCTTGTAACTGCTAAATAAGCCACCATGGGTCCAAAGAAAGCTTCTAGTGCCAACCCTTTGGTAAAAGGGGTGAGAAATACTATTGAATTGAAGAAAGAAATAATTGCAAAGTACGAAAGTGGAGTGCGTGCCTCCGAGCTGGCAAGGTTGTATGACAAACCCCAATCAACCATCGCTACTATCTTGGCCAACAAAAAGGCAATCAAGGAAGCTGTTGTTGCGAAAGGTGCAAATGTGCTTACAAATCAGGGATTGCAAATACTCGAAGATGTGGAGAGACTGTTGCTGGTGTAGGTCAACGAGAAACAGAGTGTTTCATAGTCAATTATATGTGAAAAGGAAAGGCCGTTGCATGTGGATCTCCAACTAGTGCTGATATTGATGAATTTAAGGCCAGCAAAGGCTGGTTTGAGAGAGTTAAGAATCGTAGTGGCATACACAGTGTGATAAGGCATGGCGAGGCAGCCAGTTCTGACAAAAGAGTGGCTGAAAAATGTGTGCAGGACTTTAAGGGGTATATAGAGGATGAAAAATTAAAACCCCAACAAGTGTTCAATTGTGATGAAACAGGCCTGTTTTGGAAAAAAATACCAAACAGGACCTACATTACTCAGGATGAAAAGGCACTCCCAGGACATAAGCCTATGAGAGACAGGCTAACTCTCAGGTTTTGTAGTAATGCTAGTGGGGATTGCAAAGTGAAGCCTTTACTGGTGTATCACTCCCAGAGTGTTCAAGAAAAAAGTGTCATCAAGCCTAATTTGTGTGTGATGTGGAGGACAAACAGTAAGGCATGGGTCACTAGGGACATTTTCCACGATTGGTTCTATCAAGTGTTTGGCCCGTGTGAAAAAATACCTCCTGGAAAATAAATTGTAACTCAAGTGCCTCCTGGTAATTTACAATGCTCCTGCTCACCCTCCAGACTTGCAAGAGCGAATTGTGGGGGAGTTTAGTTTCATCAAAGTGAAGTTCTGGCCCCTTAATATCACTCCTCCAGCCCATGGACCAGCAGGTCATTTCAAATTTCAAAAAAACTATACACCAAAGCAGTGTTTCAAAAGTGCTTTGAAGTGACCTCAGATACTGAATTGACCCTAAGAGAGTTCTGGAAAGATCATTTCAGTATCCTCAGTTGCATAAACCTTATAGGTAAGGTTAGGGAGGGAGTGACTTGCAGGACTTTGAACTCTGCTTGGAGAAAATTGTGGCCACAAGGGTTTGGGGTAACCCTGAGGAGCCTATACTAGTTGTGGAATCTATTGTCATTGGGGAAGTCCATGGGGTTGGAGGTTAGTGGTGAGGATGTGGAAAAGTTGGTGGAGGACGACGATGAAGAGCTAACCACTGATGAACTGCAAGAGCTTCATCTGCAACAGCAAGAGACCACAGCTGAGGAAATTGCTTCAGAGGAGGGAGGAAGAGAGATGGAGGAAGTTGCCTTCTTCAATGATTAAGGACATTTGTACAATGTGGACAAAGGTGCAAGCCTTTATGGATGAACATCACCTTGACAAAGCTGTTGCAAGCCATACTGGTGACTTTTACAATGACAATGTTGTGTCCCATTTTAGAGAAATCTTAGACATGCCAGAAACAGTTCTCTGGACAGATTTTTGGTGCAACAGGGGTCTAGTGACTCAAGCTGGTGCCAGTTGCATTAAAAAACAAAGAAGGGAGGTAACCCCCAAAAAGGATTTGCTACCTAAAGACCTTATGGAAAGGGATTCCCCTTCCAAACAATAATACACCTCCAGCCTCTCCTTTCCAGTCTTATCACTAAGTCTTCAATAAAGGTAAGTGTCATTTTATGAATTATTAATGTATTTATTCTGCAAGTCTCATTGTTTTCTGTGTAGGAAAATGTATAGTTCATGTGAAAAAATTGTTTTTTTTTTAATACTTTTGGGTGTCTGGAACGGATTAATTGGATTATCATTATTTCTTATGGGTAAAATTAATTCGGATAACGATAAAATCAGTTAAGGACAAGCTCTCTGGAACGGATTAATATCATTAACTGAGAGTCCACTGTACCTTATAAGTGGGTGCTTCATCTTTTTCTTCAGCTTTTTATGTATAACTCAAGAATGCCTTGTATGATCAGCTTGAAATTTTCATTGTTGGTTTTTTTGTACAGTGGACCCTCGATAATCGTAAGGATCGATAGTCGTAATTTTTGAGAATTGTAACGTAATTTTGGTCAAAACATTGGCTCGCAAATCGTCGTTTGACTCGCAAATAGTCGTTTGTCCCGGACGCGTACACATGGCTCCGAGCCGCCTCACCCTCCTTTCCCAGCCAGTGTGCCATTGTTTACCAGTGAGTGATGGTCCCCTCACTTGTTCATACTAAATATTTCATAATGTTCCATTCATTTTAGTGCTTGTAAGTGCTAAATAAGCTACCATGGCTCCAAAGAAAGCTCCTAGTGCCAGGCCTTTGGTTAAGAAGGTGAGAAATACGATTGAATTCAAGAAAAACATCATTGAACAATATGAAAGTGGTGTACATGTGGCTGAACTGGCCACATGTACCCCATACAACCATAGCTTCCATCGTGGCCAAGAAAAAGGAAATCAAGGAAGCTGTTGTTGCAAAGGGGTTAAATATGCTGACAAAAATGAGATCACCAGTACTCGAAGATGTTGAGAAGTTATTATTGGTGTGGATAAACAAGAAACAATTAGCAGGACATAGTCTTATGCAGTCGCTTATTTGTGAAAAGGTTAGGCAGTTGCATGATGATCTCATAAAGAAATTGCCTGCAACGAGTACTGATGTGTGTGAATTTAAGGCCAGCAAAGGCTGGTTTGAGAGATTTAAGAACTGTAGTGGCATACACAGTGTGATAAGTCATGGCGAGGCAGCCAGTTCGGACAAAATTGCAGCTACAAAATTTGTAAGTGAATTCAAGGAGTACATACAGACTGAACAATTAAAACCTGAACAAGTGTTCAGTTGTGACGAAACAGGCCTCTTTTGGAAGAAAATGCCAAAGAGGAACTACATAACTCAGGAGGAAAAGGGACTGCCAGGACACAAGCCTGTGAAAGACAGGCTGACACTCATGTTCTGTGCTAATGCTAGTGGGGATTTCAAAGTGAAACCATTACTAGTGTACCATTCTTAAAATCCCAGAGTGTTCTGGAAAAACAATGTTATGAAGAGTAAATTTTTTGTGTTTTGGAAAGCTAATAATAAGGCATGGGTCACGAGGGAAATTTTCGTCGAGTGTTTCAATGAAATGATTGGCCCTAGTGCGAAGAATTGGATCTCAAGTGCCTCCTGCTAATGGACAATGCACCTGCTCATCCTCCAAACTTGGATGACCTAATTCTGGAGGAGTTTGGGTTCATCACAGTAAAGTTCTTGCCCTCTAATACCACTTCTCTCCTCCAGCCCATGGACCAGCAGGTCATTTCAAACTTTAAAAAAAAACTACACAAAAGCAATGTTTCAAAGGTGCTTTCATGTGACCTCAGACACTCACTTGACCCTAAGAGAGTTTTGGAAAGATCATTTCAGTACCCTCCACTGCATAAGCCTTATAGGTAAGACTTGGGAGGGAGTGACTACCAGGACTTTGAACTCTGCTTGGAGAAAATTGTGGCCAGATTGTGTCCGCAAGAGGGATTTTTAAGGGTTTGGGGCTGACCCTGATGAGCCTATGACAGTTGTAAAATCTATTGTGGCATTGGGGTTGGATGTAAGTTTGGAGGATGTGGAAGAGTTGGTGGAGGACCACAAAGAAGAGCTAACCACTGAGCTGCTGCAAGAGCTTCAGCAGGAACAGCAACAGACTGCAGCTCAGAATAATGCTGCAGAGGAGAAGGAAGAGAGATGGAAGAAGTTGCCTTTTTCAGAAATTAAGGAGATTTTTGAAATGTGGGTAGGATTGAAAGATTTATGGAGAAACATCGCCCTGAGAAGGATGTTGCAATTCATATCGGCAACTTGTACAGTGACAAAGTCTTGGCCCATTTTAGGGAAGTTTTAAAGAGACTCCAGAAACAGCTCTCTGGACAAGTATTTAGTGCCACAGGTGTACAGTGACTCTCAAGCTGGTCCTAGTGACATTAAGAAACAGAGAAGTAACCCCAGAAAAGGACTTGGTACCTGAGGTGTTGATGGAAGGGGGATTCCCCTTCCTAACAGTACTGCAATGTCTCTCCTCCTCCAGTCTTCCATACACTAAAAAGAATCGCCAATAAAGGTAAGTGTTATGCTGTTAACGTTTCATTCATCATGTTCCATTGTATTGTTTATGTACTACATTTATATTTCATGTAAAAATTTTTTTGTTTTAATACTTCTGGGTGTCAGGAACGGATTAATTGTATTTACATTATTTCTTATGGGGAAAATGGATTCGAAAATCGTCAATTTCGATAATAGTCATACTTCCAGGAACAGATTAATTACGAAAAACGAGGGCCCACTGTACAAAAGGGTTCATGCAGCTTTTCCCCCTGGGTTCACTGATGTTGCTGAAGGCTCTTAATCCAGGGAATTGGACCTGCGTACTTCTTGGATCAAACCTGAATGTGTCCCCTTTCCCCAGGTGCCTACATGACCCCCATGTGTAGAGAACCTAAGATAACCCAAAAAAGTCAGACAGTGACTTATAAGTGCTACACTCATAATGCTACACTTTTCCACTGCTACCTCATGATGTCTGCGATTGCTGCTTCATGTTGTCTGCCACTGCTTCCTCATGATGTCTGCCA